CGTTAAAATTGGGACGATGTTCTATTTGTGTTCTCGATAATTTTGGGACGATGTTCTATTTGCGTTCCCGATAATTTTGGGACGATGTTCTATTTGTGTTCCCGATAATTTTGGGACGATGTTCTATCTAGGTGGTCTAGATGATGACGGTCCTGAACCAGTGTTTCGTTCCGACTTTTTTCTCCATGGAGGGGGGGAGGGGCACTGATATATATTTTCTATAAAAATTCTATTTCGTTCTGGGAGCGGTAGACGTTTTTCGGGGGGGGGGCGCCTCCGCCCTTCTCCCACCTCCCCTTTTTCCGAAGAGCTTCCTGAAAGAAACCCTGTCCTGAACAGAGCTGCGCTAACGGCCCTGGACAGCCATACTGTGTGGTGACCAGACCGTATAGCGTGCAGTGAGCGTTGTTTGCTCGTTCATGAAATACCTGCGTGTGCCAAACGGATCATTTTCCGTGTGAGCTGTTTACTTAAAGACAGAAAGTTTTAGACATCTTGTTTAGGCTGTAAGGTGAGGGGAAATTGGATAAATGGACAGTGTAGGAATGCGAGAGTTTTGAGAATACGGATTGTTTATAAATAGGAAAATAAAATCATTAACGATTATGAGGACTCTGTGTGCATGAAAATTTGATGATAGTGGCTTTTAGGGAGGGTGGGTGGGTTTGATTATAGTGACATTAAATGAAGGGTGGGTTTGATTATAGTGACATTTAAAGAGCGGGTGGATTTGATAATAGTGACAATTAAGGAGGGGGGGGTGGCACTATTGTGAGGTTTGAAAGATCAGAACCGCCGTCTCCCAGCACACTATATCACGAGCACACATATCATAGCATCACCTTATGTCTAGCACACACGTCATGTCATCACTACACGACTAGCACCCGCCCACATCTTATCTCTGTGTGATTTTACAGCTAGCACACGACCACATGTTATCGTGTGATGGTACACACATCATGTTATCATCATCATCCGACTAGAACACGACCAAATGTTTTCTCATCCGACTAGCACACGACCAAATGTTATCATCCAACTAGCACACGACAACAAGTTAGCATCCGACTAGCACACATGTTATCATCACCATCCGACCAGCACACGACAACATGTTATCGCTGTCTAATGGTACAACTGGCACAATTAGGCAAGCCATCGATTGTTTAATTGACCTGGAATCGTAGACAACCCGGCATTTGTCTAGCCCGGTTTTTTACCACACCGCTGCTGGTGTGGGGTGTGTGGGTGGGGGTGGGGGTGTGCTGGAAATATAAATCGATAAACTTGCCTGAAACTCACGTGAAGAATACACTTGGTTGGTCAGGCACTCGTGTTGTGTCGGTAACTGGGTATGAGAGGAGGGATTGGATTCTGTATATAGAACTGTGTTCACTAGGATCTTGTGGATAAATTAACTAGGTGGATAAGCATGGATATATTCTGTAGAGCCCAACATTATAACTCTGGCGTTGTGTATTTCCTTGTTTTTAAAAACTAACGGAGCCGCTATAATGCGATTTTCTAGCTGTATGAATTCATCATTGAATTCCGCCCAGTTTATTCCGGTCAGTTTCTGATCCAAACCGGTTCTGCGCCGGTTTCGGTTTGATATGTTGTGTTTGCCGGCCAAGTGAGCCGATTAGTGTCGTGTGCTGATCGTTGGGTCAAAATAAGGCCATCGTGACGTCACTTCCTAGAGGTCGCCGCTCTCTACCTGACGATCAGATCAGACGATAAATGGCTGTGGCCTCGTTATCACAATATCAGCGTCAGTTATTCTTACCTTCCACTTCCGTGTTCTTTCATTTATGCAGTGGACAGCCTTCAAACTCGAAAATACTTTCTAAGATGTAATTCTTTTTTTTTTAAATTAGACAAACCTCCGATACTAAAGCAACTATTACTTTTTACAAAACACATTTACTTATATACACTTCCTATATCAAGATGCTCAGAAAATCAAAATAAACTCCGGACTTTTTCAAATCAACACACCTGTTATATGCCACATTTGTTATGTAGGAACACATATAATGGACAAACACTTCTCACATAAAAACACCGACACTTTTATCATGAAGACACTTCTAACAATAATACACCTAAAATAGTCCGACACTTGTAACATTAAGACACTTGTAACAATAAGACACTTGTAACAATAAGACAGTTGAAACAATAAGACTCGTCTAACAATAAGACACTTGAAACACCCAACAAACACTAACCCTCCAATGACCGGAGCAGCTACCCTTGTCCTTTAACCCTTATCTCCATTAGCTGTTGCTGTCCTACATTGTTGAATCATGTTGCTCCACGTACCGGAAGTGACACCGCGCACCAGCCCACGGATATGACGTCATTGTATTTATTGTGTGCCGGGCTCACAGTAGCTTCCGTTTTGGTGTTCACTCGATAGAAACTTTATACATAAACCCCGGGTAAACACTCGATTTATGTCGTGCTGTTTGGTGCTTGATTTCTTTTGTTAGCGTCTGGTTCGTGGAGTTGGTGGATAATGAGACGGACGGGGGAAGAAAAATTAGATGAGCGCAAACTAGATTTACAAGTCTTCTGGTTCAGACTGGTTGTTTTCGTAATTTTTGGCATTCATTCCACGAAAGCTTTGTTCTTTAGTCTAAGCTGTTATCTTGTTTCAAATTATACCCCTCCTCCCCCTCCCCACAGCCTGATGGCAGTCTCCAACCGTCTTGAAATATTGGCCTTTACTATTGATCTCTGAATGTCTTCAACTGTTCTTGTGTTTGGATACGCAGGTGAAACAAAAATTACGTACGGTTTCTGTGTAAAATTCAACTGATTCAAACTTCATTCAAAACGTTCAGGATTTTTTGGATTACTTTGTGCTTTATAAATATGTGATAGAAGGATAAACTTGCAGACCAAAACATACTGACATTAATTGCGGTGAAAATGAACTTAAGTTGTCGCCCTGTTGGATGAGACGAAGGAGTTACTTCCCTGCCAACAGCGGGATTTAAATTGCTGGCATGGGGCCAAATCATTTGTTCCCGTCATCCCACTCCAGTATGGCAGCTAAAGGCGAGGGTGTTTCAGATATCAGGTAAAGTGAGGGTGTTTCAGACATCAGGTAAAGTGAGGGTGATTCAGACATCAGGTACAGTGAGGGTGTTTCAGACATCAGGTAAATTCAAATATCAGGTAGAGAAGGTGTTTCTTAGGTTCAGGAAAAGGTGTTTCGTGTGTTAGGTAAAGGAGGTGTTTCAGTTATTGGGTACATGTATCCCACCATATGTTTACTGTAACCCACATACAAGCATACATTAGCCATATGTTATCCACCATCTACTGTCAAGTCCTTAAAAGTGGCGCCTCTATGTATTTAACTCGCACATCTACATCTCTATCAATGGTTCTTTCAAGCATTTTACACCAGGGGGGGGGGGCATTTGATTTGAAACATCCGGCCTGTGGCGTATTTGAACTTCCGGCGGGGTGGAGGGGGGGGGGCGACACAGGTTAAATTATACACTCTCTATACAAATCACTTTTGTTTTCTATTACATTCGGGGGTAAGGTTGTGATCGTGTTTACCCCTCTCCCCCCCCCCCCCCCCCCCCCACACACACACACACAACCCGAGTGATGTTTAAAAGAAATGCCGCTCTCCATTGTAGCACCTCCCTGTGTTTTCTAGAGCAGTAAAGGGCTACCCCCCCCTACCACCAGCCCTCCCTGTGTTTTCTAGAGCAGTATAGGGCTACCCCCCTACCACCAGCCCTCCCTGTGTTTTCTAGAGCAGTAAAGGGCTATCCCCCTACCACCAGCCCTCGCTGTGTCACTGAGTAATATTGCTTGACTTGCGTATGACGCCACAGGTCGCGGTGTGTGATAACATGTTTGAAGGTTGAGTACTCTAGTTGTGTGTAGTTAGAATCTTGGGTGAGTGGAGACGCCGTGAGGATAAGTTGGGAACCACTGTAGTGCAGGAATTGTGTCTCAATGCTAGCTTTTAGCGTTAAAATAAAGTGCGCTTAGCGTTCGGCTAGAGACGTGTTTATTTAACGCTAGAAATCTGAGTTTAAAATAGCCTGTAATAAAAATCGGTTGTATGGATTTCCTACACTAGCTTCATTGGCTAAGTGTATTAGAAACAACCGAATAAAATGCGATTACAATGCCCTCAGTACATTGGCATTAGTAAGTTCATCAGGTGATGGATTTTGTTAAAAATGGAAACAGTCGTTGGCCTCAATTAGGTTTTATTAGGTGGGGGTGTCGACATAGGAATGTTTTTCTGTTCGGGTTGAAGACATTTCAAAAACTGATTAGAAACTCTGTAACACGATGTGGTAAACATATCCGGTTACATTCATGGGCGGGGCACTGGGGGTGGCGGTCACCTGAGGGTGGCGGTCACCTGGGGGTGGCGGTCACCTGGGATGACGGTGGTTGTTGTTTTGTTTTGTGGTGCTGGTGATCTGGTTTACCTCGTGTGGTCAGTGATGACGTATGTTTGGCTACTATCGCTGGTCTCTAATGATGTCATGTTGTTCACCTTCCTTGCTGTGTGATAACGTCACCTGGCTTATCTTCGTCTATTTACGTCAGGCTGTTTGTCATCCCTATTTTGTGATGACGTCATGCTGTTATTTTCCTTGTTGTGTGATGACGTCATGCTGTTTATCTTCCTTGTTATGTGATGACGTCATGCTGTTTATCTTCCTTGTTGTGTGATGACGTCATGCTGTTTATCTTCCTTGTTGTGTGATGACGTCAATGTGTTTATCTTCCTTGTTGTGTGATGACGTCATGCTGTTTATCTTCCTAGTTGTGTGATGCTGTTGTTTTGACTTCTTCCACTTCCTTCTGGATGTAACGATGTCACGTAAATTAGTTCTGCTGTCAGATTACGTAATAATTTCGAGTCCTATTTTTGGCCTGTGACGACTTCCTGTAGTGTCTGATGACCTACTTGTCTTGACCTTCACCTTTGTTATGTCTACTTTCAGCATCACCTACATACCAGGAGCCACCGCAGGAAGAGCCACACAGGAGCCGGCTCCCACGTCAGAGCCACAGCAGAGCCCACTCTTACACAAGCTGGCCAAGTCCCTCAGGTAGGTCCGGCGTAGTGGGTGGTTAGTTGTGGACATGACTAGATGGGGGGGGGGCACATGACTCGATGGGGGGAGGGGGGCACATGACTCAATGGGGGGCATATGACTGAAGTCATGAGCATACAACTGAAGTAGGTCACATGACTGAAGCAAATCAATGACTGAAGTTGGTGACATGACTCAGTATGGTGTCCATTCGGGCAAGTGTCCATCCATTCGGGAAAACGGTCTTTGGGCAAGTGTCTTTCAGGAATATGTCATGGACCCAATACAAACATCAGGGGCAGATAACTGAATTAATCTTTTGAAATCATTGGCTCACTGCTCCCTGAACTAATTGGCGGAGAAAACAAATTGTGCTGTCTTACAGCCAGAATAACAAACATGTATGATAGAAATCTTATCAACACGGTGATCATGTATGAAAATGGATTTGTGTATGTATTGTATGATATATGGTGCAGATGTTGTGTAATGTATGTGCTGTTGTTGTTGTAGGTCAGATGAAGAAGCAGCAACAGTCCCCCTTGTGTCCTCCCCTCCCCCCCCCCCCCCCCTCATGTAATGTATGTTCTGTTGTTGTTATAGGTCAGATGACGAAGCAGCAACAGTCCCCCTTGTGTCCTCCCCTCCCCCACCAGCCCAGCCTGAAGCCCCACAAGACGACTCCGCCAGTCAGTCCGAGGCTAAAGCCGCGGGTCAGAAAACCCTCCAGACGGACGGGTCACCAGCGGTGGGGAACCAGGCATGGGGCCCTCCCAGAACTGTGGAACTGGTCAGGGAGGTGGGCAAAAGTCTTGGCATCAGCATTGTAGGTAGGTACTTGTGAGGGTGGGGATTTTTATGAAGGCGGTAACGAATGTATCCAACAACACGCAGTTCAAGTTCAACTATAATTGTTCTTTATTAAAAATGATATATATGTTCAAGTTTCTACCTAACTGATCTACACTGTACTATTTATTACTACTACTGACTGTTCATACCACATGCTACCTACTACTACGACCAATCCTAACACTAACTGTTCTCTACATTCTACAATCTCACACCTTCTACCTCGCTAGCTAATCATGAACTCCTAACTGTCTACATTCCTCGGCCGTCTCTGCCACTACCTAACAACTCCTGGCCCATCGCTCTACTGACTCACGCCTCAGTGGTCAGCTGACCGTCCCATGTGACCGGTCAGCCCTGTGCGCCCATTGGCCTCTATCTGACCAACCAACTATGGTCTATAGTCTGTTTCTGCTAACCTATATCTGCTAAACATGTCTGACGTAATCTTGCGTCATCACATATCTCCCTCCCTTTCTGTAGCTGACAAATTATATTTTTCAGCGTCTGCTACTAATCTAATACATCAACAACTATCTATCTTACTACTCTATTCTATCCCTAACATCAATCATAAAAATCAAAACAAAATGGGACAGCACAGTTTACAAATACATAAAATCTTGTGTTCCTGAAAAAAAGAAAATGTCATTGTTCTAGATCTTGTGTAAGTATCCTGACATCTGTGGTGTCTCTGCTTGATAATGTATGTCTATGTTATAGTATGTGTGAATCTAATCATATGTAACTCAGTTCTGGCTAGGTTGTCCTGTACTGGCCTTGAGCCAATCTTAGTGGTAATGTGTAACTGGTTGAACGGGCTCAGCGAGCAGTGTGTTTGTGTAAGTGTTATGTAATCGCTGGCGTTCCTCTGTGGTGGGTGGGTTGTGGCGTTGGTCGACGTAAATTCCCGTGAGGCGGGTGTAGGCGTAACTTTCGTTGGTCAATGTGATGACGCAACAATCTCATCTCAACGCTGGTTGAGACGTCCACGTAGAGTGGTTATATGATGAACTGGAGCTGTCCGATGCGGTGGCGAACAATGACGCAACATTCCGACGCTGGGAACTTGGACGATGGGTCGTCTACCCTTTGTATGTGCCGACGTAGGTGTACGTAGCTGGCGGTCTGTTATTCAACCACAGGTTGGGGCGAAGCGGTGGCGATGCGTCCGTTGTCTTGACCAGGGCAATTCTCTGTTAAGCAAGGCTGTTCGCTGTCCAGGTAATTCAACGTAATCAGGGCTTCAGGTGGCGGCATTCTTTGAAGTGTCTGCTTCATCTCGTCTCATTCTGAATAAGCGTAGTGGGTCTGAAATTGTATTACGAGACCATGAGCAATGGTTTTACGTGACCATCTTAGTGCCCGCGCAGACAAGTATTCAGACAGAGGTACCTTCCATTAAAAAAAACCTCAATCCCAAATTTAAACGTGCTGAACACTTGTCTGGCGGTACATACAGCATACAAAAATAACATTACAAACAAACCAAATAAAAAATCAGTACACTCTAATCTAACAACAATCTGTAAAGCCTAATAAACTCAATAGACGTAAACACTACTAGAGCTTAGAAATAGCTTCACAAAAAAGAATAGACATGTAAGTGTATATAAATAATCGTGCCGTTTCAAATAACATTTGAACACGTAATCATATAGTGGAGCAGCTCTCACTATCTGACTTCTGACAAAAACTGGCTGGCTTGACTTAATGACTGACTTCACTTATGACTTCAGTAACCTGACTTATTTCACTTTAACTGACTTCAGTAATTTCACTTATTTCACTTTGACTTCAGTAACGTGACTGACTTCAATTTAACGACTGATTTCCTCTGACGACTTCAATTACTTCAACTTGACGACTAACTTCACTTTGAAGACTAACTTGACCTCGACGACTTCACTTCAATTCAACTTAAAAGACTTCACTGACTGACTTAAACTTCGACGACTTAAACGTCTTCACTTTGACTTCAACAACTTCAATATGACTTCAAAGGTTCCCACGACATCACTGGCTTCATAAACATCGCTGACTGACCTCGATTGACTTTAAATGACTTCTTTGGCTTCAGTTCTGACTTTTACTTCACGCCGATTTCTCGGCGACTTAGGTTCCTAACATTCTTGATGACCAGAGTTGTATGACCTATGTTCTAGTTGCGTGACAGCGTGTCGGCCAACACGTTTTGTGTGCCGGGGACAGGAACAATGTCAAATTGATAATCTTGTAAGCTCAGTGCCCAGCGTACCAGTCTTGCGTTTGACAGCTTCTTTGTTTTTAGTGCTTGTAGGGGCGCGTGATTGGTCTGTAAAGTGAAGTGTGCACCGGCCAGGTATCTGGCAAACTTGTTTATGGCCCAGACTATGGCCAGACATTCTTTCTCAATGACTGCGTAGTTTTTCTCAGCTGACGACAATTTTCGGCTAATGTATTGAACTGGGTGGAGTTCATTGTTAAATTCTTGTAATAGACATGCACCTATACCGACCGAAGAGGCATCCGTGCAGAGGATAAAGGGTTGATCTGTATTTGGTAATCTGAGAATAGGTTCCGATGCGAATGCTTGTTTTACCCTGTTTAGTGCTGTTTCACATTTTTCTGTCCACAGTAGTTTCTTATTCTTTTTGTCCGTTTTTGTTAAATTCGTTAGTGGCTCTATGATGGTGGCGAAATTGGGTATAAACTTCCTATAGTAGTTACACAGACCGATCAAGCTACGGACCTCTTTAATTGATGTCGGCACGTTTATGTTCAGTATTTTATTCACTGTAGGTTGGAGTGGCTTTTGTTGACCTTGTGAAATGGAGTGACCTAAAAATTCTATCTCTTCCATTCCTATTTCTATTTTGCTAGGTTTAGCAGTGAGTCCATGCTGCTTTAATATTTCCAGCAGCGTTTCCAGTCCTCTCACATGCTCTTGCCAGGTGTTGTGGAACAGACATATGTCATCCAAGTAGGATATGAGGTCGTCTCGACCCTGTAGTATTTTTCGCATGAGTCTGTTGAAGGTAGCCGGTGCGTTCATTAGCCCGAAACTCATGTACTTCCACTGGAACAAGCCAAATGGTGTTATAAAGGCTGTTAGGTGTCTCACATCTTCTTTTATTGGTATCTGCCAATAACCCCTGGATAAGTCAAGCTTTGTAAAGTATTTAGCCTGTTTAAGTTTAGCAAATAAGTCTTCTGGATTTGGCATTGGTTCTGCGTCTGGTATTGTAATGCTGTTCAGTTGTCTGTAATCAATACACAGTCTAAGGTCGTGGGATTTTTTCTTTACTAATACAATAGGTGCAGCATATGAGGAGTCGGAATGTTCTATTATTCCCGCTTGTAATAATTCTTGGATTTGGTTTTGTACGTTTTCTCTGTGATGTATGGGAATGTTGTATGCGGGCATTTTGGTTGCTCTAAGTGAAGTCAACTTAATATCATGGACGATTGTATCTGTTTTACCAGGTTGTGGGGATAGCACCTCTTTAAATTTTTCTAATATTTCCTTGATTTCTTTTTCGATTTCTGGCGGCATTCTGCCGATTTTGATATCTTGCCATGTTTCCTTGCTAGTAGGTAATGTGTATATTTTGCCGATCGAGTCTGTGTCATCTTCGTGTAACTCTGCGCAGTTTATTGTTGCCGTTTGTTTAATTTCAAGCTCTTCTGGTCTTAAGGTGTAAGGGCTCAATATATTTGTGTGAAACGTTTTTTTCTTCCCTTTTATTTCGACTTGATAGTCCACATTTGAAATTTTGGCTGTGATTGTGAATGGGCCCTGCCATGCAAGCTGTAATTTGTTGTGCTTAGAAGGTAACAGTATTCTCACCTGTTCCCCTACTGTGAACTGGCGTAGCTTTCTATTCCTGTTCACCCTGTGTCTTGCTATTTCTCCCTTTTCTTGTAGCGCGAGCTTTGCTTCCTGGCATGCATTGATTATATTTTCTCTAAGATTGACAATGGCTTCATATGTTGTTCTGGTTTCTTGTTCTATGTTCTGTTTGTAGAGAAGTGTCCTAAGTATATCCATGGGGCCTTTGGGGTTGGCGCCGTAGACGAGTTCGAATGGAGAAAATCCAGTAGAAGAATGAGGTATTTCTCGGTAGGCGAATAGGATACATGGTAGCATGGTATCCCAGTTTTCTGGGTTGTCTTTAGAGACTTTGTCTAGTAACGATTTAATGGTGCCGTTTAGTCGTTCACACACGCCATTGCTTTGAGGGTGATAGGGCGTCGTGAATGCTTGCTTAATCCCCAGCACACTCGTGAGTTGTCTCGTTAAGTCGGAGGTAAATTGTGTGCCCCGATCTGACAGTATGGTGTCCGGGAACCCGGTTCTTGAGAAGAACGTGAGTAGGGCGCCTGCTATATCCTCAGATGTTATCGTCTTTAGTGGGAAGGCTTCTGGCCAACGTGTTGCAAAGTCGACTATTGTGAGGATGTATCGGTGACCACGTTTTGATGGGGTAGGCAGTGGTCCTATGATATCTATCGCTATTTTTTCGAATGGTCTGTTAGCTAAATCAGTGGTTTGTAATGGGGCTTGGGGTGGTCTAGTGGTATCTCTATTCCTGCATGTCTGACATGACTTCACGTACTGTGAGATGTCTTTGTCCATGCCCGGCCAGTAGAAGGTAGTTTCAATTCTTTGTTTTGTTTTCTTTCTTCCCATGTGTCCTGCAAGTGTAAGGTCGTGTGCATGGTGTAGAATTTGTGCTCTGTATTTCTGTGGGATTACTAATTGGTTTATTTCTTGTCCTTTGCTTTTATATTTTCTTTGAAGCGTGTTATTCTTAATAAAGAAAGAGTGTTCTGATGACCTCGATGTAGTAATTGAGTGTTTACGGGCGAGTCTAAATATCTTTTCTAGTGACGGGTCTTCTTGTTGTGCTAGCTGAAATTTTTCTGGTTCCCAAATGTTTTTGGCCTCAGTATTATCCATGGCATTGTTCTGTTGGCCTTCTGCTTGATGACTACTTAGGTCGACGGGTGGTTCATGACTTTTGTTGCTTTCTCTTGCTTTTCTTGCTTGTTCTCTTGTTTCGACCATCTGAATTATTTCCCTTTGTACCCAATCGTCGATTTCCACTCGGGAAATAGTTTCGTTGTTCACTATGTTTCCGATGATCAGATCATACGATCCATTGTCAGTGACCACAGCAATTACACGACCAGTTAGATATGGGGTTTGAATATTGATCAATGCCGTTTTGTATTCTGCGATTATACCGCCAAATAATTCCACATTTACATATCGGCCTGTATATTGGCATGTTTTAACGAATTTGGCTTTTACTGCCATTGTCGAACAACCAGTGTCTCGAATTGCGTTTACTATCTGTCCGTTTACTTTAGACTTAAATGTTGGTAACGAGCTTGATGTGTTTAGTAGGTGGATTCTTTCAACTGGTTGGTTATGGTTTTGTGAAGGGTTGTTTCTCTGTGGTCTCTGGTAAGGTTCGTTCCTTGAAGATGAGCGTTGTTGGCTTAGTTGTTCTAAGTAGTTCACTCGAGTTTCAACTCTAAATTGTTTCACACCTCTAATATTCCCTAATATCACATCGTATGGCCCGTTTTTAAAAACAGCTGCTTCAACTGTTTTACACGCTGATGGTGTGGCTATGGTGACTATAGCTGTTGGCCAAACATATGTGATGCCTCTTGAGCTGTGAACACGTTGTGTTCTGCCTGTGTATTGGTGGTGTTGTACGAATGTGTTACGTACTGCCACTGTTGAGCAGTGTGTGTCCCTAATTGCTGTGGCGTATCTGCTATTAATTTTTGACGTAAATGTGTCTGTTCTTTTACTGGCTTCTGTAAACGATGATATGAATGCCATTCTATTAATCTGTCTATATTTTGGTCTGTTGCGTTGTGCATCTTGTTGGCGTATATCATAATATCGTATTCTGCAATTTATTTGTTTGTGGCCTGTTCTATTACAATAGTAGCATCTGACACTGTAATTGTGTTTTTGTTGACTGTAGTTAATCTGAATGTTGTGATTTGCGCTATTATGTTTTTGGAGTGTATGTAGTGTTTCACTTTTTGTAGTAGGTATTTCGCTTGCTTCACTGAACGTGTCATCTGAATCTGAATCGTAGGAATAGTAAAATGTTGTTTCAGCTGTCTGGTTGTTATTATTAGTATCTAAACTTTGCACCGTTTCTTGTTTGGCTTGGCAAAGTTCTCTCAATTTTTCTCTTTCTTTACGAATTCTTTCTGTTTCTTCTTTAAGTCCGGCAATATATGTTTCTGCTTCTCTTTGTTTCTCTGCTAACTCGGCATCTATCTTTGCATCATATTCTTCTTCAGTCAACAAGGAATCTGGATCTCCGAATACCTTGTAATCTACAATTCTATTGATCAAATCTTCCATAGCATCTGGATCATCTAGAGTTTTTACGTCAAATTCTTTAACAGTTAATAACCAGTCTCGATTTTCTGTTGTCGTGTATTGTCCAAGCCTAATAATCAATTCATCCAGAATATCTGGATCCTCAATAGTTCTTGAATTGCTTTTCACTTTGACTGTATTCTGAACATTTATATTTAGTAACGAGTTATCAATTCTACCTGACTCTTCTAGGCCTGACTTAAGCTCAGTTTTAGTGCCCACTTCGTACAATGGAGGCATTTTTAAGGGTAGTGTGGTTGAAGAAACAGACAAGAAGGAGGCAGAAAAACCGCTGGCACCAAATATCCAGCACAAGTCTAAACCCAAACGTTTAAAAAATTTTTGGAAGGTACTTATCTTTTTGGACATGTTGACTGTTTCCTTGTGTTGTTAATCCAAACTCGTTCCGGTTGAAGAAACCCGCTGTTGTGTTGAGTTGAAGAAAGCCGTACACCAGTCGTACTCCGTCATGAATAGCTGATATACGTTCTTTCCCTCACTCGACCCGCGCTCCACCAATTGTGAGGGTGGGGATTTTTATGAAGGCGGTAACGAATGTATCCAACAACACGCAGTTCAAGTTCAACTATAATTGTTCTTTATTAAAAATGATATATATGTTCAAGTTTCTACCTAACTGATCTACACTGTACTATTTATTACTACTACTGACTGTTCATACCACATGCTACCTACTACTACGACCAATCCTAACACTAACTGTTCTCTACATTCTACAATCTCACACCTTCTACCTCGCTAGCTAATCATGAACTCCTAACTGTCTACATTCCTCGGCCGTCTCTGCCACTACCTAACAACTCCTGGCCCATCGCTCTACTGACTCACGCCTCAGTGGTCAGCTGACCGTCCCATGTGACCGGTCAGCCCTGTGCGCCCATTGGCCTCTATCTGACCAACCAACTATGGTCTATAGTCTGTTTCTGCTAACCTATATCTGCTAAACATGTCTGACGTAATCTTGCGTCATCACAGTACTGTAGTACTGTTACATTGTAGGTAGGTACTGTAGCACTGTTACATTGTAGGTAGGTACTGTAGCACTGTTACATTGTAGGTAGGTACTGTAGCACTGTTATATTGTAGGTAGGTACTGTAGTACTGTTACATTGTAGGTAGGTACTGTAGTACTGTTATATTGTAGGTAGGTACTGTAGCACTGTTATATTGTAGGTAGGTACTGTAGCACTGTTATATTGTAGGTAGGTACTGTAGTACTGTTACATTGTAGGTAGGTACTGTAGTACTGTTATATTGTAGGTAGGTACTGTAGCACTGTTACATTGTAGGTAGGTACTGTAGCACTGTTATATTGTAGGTAGGTACTGTAGTACTGTTACATTGTAGGTAGGTACTGTAGTACTGTTATATTGTAGGTAGGTACTGTAGCACTGTTATATTGTATGTAGGTACTGTAGCCCTTACATTGTATGGTTCTGCAGCTTAGCAATTGTTTCATGAAGTTACAGACAAATAAGTTGTGTGTTTCCTCTTCTAAGTTATAATAAATTAAAATATAACATTGGAGATAGATTTAGATCTTAAGAAAATATCTCAAACCTCCCTAGGAAGAAAAATTCCCCGCTTTTTTATATTTGTAAGTTTTCTTTTTAAAGAAGTTTAGAAATGTAATTTCTTAAGGCCTAGTTATTTGACATGTTCCCAAAACTATGTTGTTATATTTTTACAGGTGGGAGGGTCGACATGTTCAATGTCTCGCAGGAACACTGCAACGCTGGAATTTTTATCAAGCATGTTCTACCAGACAGCCCAGCTGGTCGTAATGGAACTCTCAAGAAAGGGGACCGTATTCTTGAGGTCAGTCATAGGAACACAGAGTTGTTCATCTTGTTTTAAACTTGACCAAGAGTTTCAGTAGCTTGGGATTTGTGTGGAGTATTTGACCAGTGTCAGTCATAATACAACTGACACTCACAAGAACAATACATTTCTGATTTTAATGTTTTAAAACTTTTGTCATAAAATTGTCATGTGTCTCTAACTGAATGTGTCTCTGAATGTGTCCTATCATGTGTCTCTAACTAACTGTGTCTTGTGTCACCAGGTGAATGGCGTTGATGTCAGAAATGCAACTCATGATGAAGCAGTCGAGGTCATCCGCAACTCATCCAGTCCTATTACATTTGTTGTTCAAAGTCTTTCATATTCTTCCTGTGTAAGTTGTTCAAAGTCTTTCATATTCTTCCTGTGTAAGTTGTTCAAAGTCTTTCATATTCTTCCTGTGTAAGTTGTTCAAAGTCTTTCATATTCTTCCTGTGTAAGTTGTTCAAAGTCTGTTATATTCTTCCTGTGTAAGTTGTTCAAAGTCTTTCATATTCTTCCTGTGTAAGTTGTTCAAAGTCTTTCATATTCTTCCTGTGTAAGTTGTTCAAAGTCTTTCATATTCTTCCTGTGTAAGTTGTTCAAAGTCTTTCATATTCTTCCTGTGTAAGTTGTTCAAAGTCTTTCATATTCTTCCTGTGTAAGTTGTTCAAAGTCTTTCATATTCTTCCTGTGTAAGTTGTTCAAAGTCTTTCATATTCTTCCTGTGTAAGTTGTTCAAAGTCTTTCATATTCTTCCTGTGTAAGTTGTTCAAAGTCTTTCATATTCTTCCTGTGTAAGTTGTTCAAAGTCTTTCATATTCTTCCTGTGTAAGTTGTTCAAAGTCTTTCATATTCTTCCTGTGTAAGTTGTTCAAAGTCTTTCATATTCTTCCTGTGTCAGTTGACTAAAAGTCTTTCAGATTCTTCCTGTGTAAGTTGTTCAAAGTCTTTCATATTCTTCCTGTGTAAGTTGACTAAAAGTCTTTCATATTCTTTCTGTATAAGTTGTTCAATGAAATTAACTATGCTTTTGTCTGTCCAAATACAACCACAGCCTGGAGATCTGGAATCTTCACAGCTAAAACCTGTCCAGTCTTTTGAAGAAGCTGTTACAGTACCTGTCCATGGTTCTCTGGCTTCCTCGTCACCTGGGAGCACACCTCAGCAGGTACACACACTGTAGCACACCTCAACAGGTACATACACTGTACACACCTCAGCAGGTACACACGCTGTACACACACTGTAGCACACCTCAGCAGGTACACACACTGTACACACACCTCACCAGGTACACACACTGTAACACACCTCACCAGGTACACACACTAACACACCTCACCAGGTACACACTGTAACACACCTCACCAGGTACACACACTGTAACACACATCACCTCATACACACAGGTATTTAAACTTCACCAGGTACGTACATGAAACCTTCAAACCCTTAAACACACATTTGATAATACACCTGCCTTGTGTATCTACACATGTCTATACACATTTATATACACACATGCATACATATATCCATAATATCCTAGTATATCTCCATGCTTGCTTGCGCTGTTCTGTCTGGGCATGTTCCTAGCTCAACCAGCTCAAGAAACTGTAACATCATCCATCAGACAAAAATCAATGCAGATAGGGGGGGGGGGAGAGAGAAAAAACAGGGGGGGTGGGGTTGTGATACCAGGGTGAGGGATGGGTGGGGGTATTAGGTCCCCTTAGCTCATCTTGACGTCAGTCCACATTTAGATTGTTGTAAAGGTGTGATGAAGATGTGTGATGTGATGAAGATGTGTGATGTGATGAAGATGTGTGATGTGATGAAGATGTGTGATGTGATGAAGATGTGTGATGTGATGAAGATGTGTGATGTGATGAAGATGTGTGATGTGATGAAGATGTGTGATGTGATGAAGATGTGTGATGTGATGATGTGTTGAAGATACCTGATGTGTAGAAGTGAATCACATTTTAAGTATTTGATGGGGCAGTGTAACAGGTTTTGTTGGTGGGGGTTGGGGAGATGGGGGCAAGAAATCACTGCCAATTTCCCCATAGGCCAATAGCGTATGGAGAGACAGATGATTGGAGTAGGTATCATAGATAGACAGATGATTGGAGGAGAATGATGGAGGGACAGATGATTGGAGGAGAATGATGGAGAGACAGATGATTGGAGGAGAATGTCTGATGGAGACACAGAGGATTGGAGGAGAATGTCTGATGGAGAGAAGATTGGAGGAGAATGTCTGATGTAGAGACATATGATTGGAGGAGAAAGTCTGATAGAGAGACAGAAGATTGGAGGAGAATGTCTGAGAGACAGATGATTGGAGGAGAATGTCTGATAGAGAGACAGAAGATTGGAGGAGAATGTCTGATGGAGAGACAGATGATTGGAGGAGAATGTCTGATGGAGAGAAGATTGGAGGAGAATGTCTGATGTAGAGACAGATGATTGGAGGAGAATGTCTGATAGAGCGACAGAAGATTGGAGGAGAAAGTCTGATGGAGAGACAGATGATTGGAGGAGAATGTCTGATGGACAGAAAATTGGAGGAGAATGTCTTATAGACAGAAGATTGGAGGAGAATGTCTGATAGAGAGACAGAAGATTGGAGGAGAATGTCTGATAGACAGAAGATTGGAGAATGTCTGATAGAGAGACAGAAGATTTGAGGAGAATGTCTGATAGACAGATGATTGGAGGAGAATGTCTGATAGACAGATGATTGGAGGAGAATGTATGATAGAAGATTGGAGGAGAATGTCTGATAGAAGATTGGAGGAGAATGTCTGATGGACAGATGATTGGAGGAGAATGTCTGATAGACAGAAGATTGGAGGAGAATGTCTGATGGACAGATGATTGGAGGAGAATGTCTGATAGACAGAGGATTGGAGGAGAATGTCGGCTTTATGAAGGAGAGCGGGTGATAAGCTACTTAGTGACAAAGATGGAGTGATGCATTATGGGAAATTTGGCTGTGGGCTGGAGAAGCTAGGGGTAGAGTTTGTTGAAATAATGGGGGGGGGGAGTCGTGTCTTGGAGTGGGGGTAGGTGGGGAACTGTTTGTGAGGGTGAGGGTAGAAAGATGGAAATTGCTGTTGGGGTGGGGGTAGAAGGGGAAATTTTTGTTGGGGTAGGGGTTGAAGGCAATGGCTGAGGGTGGGGGTAGAAGGATAAAAGATGTCTCTAGGAGGAGGGAAATAAACCCATTTGAGTTAGAGAGTGGTGAGAATATGAATTTAAGGGAGTATGGATGGGAGGGTGGATGAGAGGATGGATGGGTGGATGGATGGATGGGAGGGTGGATTGATGGGTGGATGTGGAAAGAAAGAAAGTATAATGGGTTGCGGAATGGTGGAAAGAAAACAAGATATTGGTGGGGAGAGTGTAATGTGTAACAATTGTGGTGTTGAAAAAATAGTGATGGAGAGTGGTGAGAGAATGATGAATAAAATAAATGAAAGGTTAGAAGTGAAAGATTAATGGGAGGTAAGAGATGAATGGGAGGTAAGAGATGAATGGGAGGTAAGAGATGAATGGGAGGTAAGAGATGAATGGGAGGTAAGAGATGAATGGGAGGTAAGAGATGAATGGGAGGCAAGAGATGGATGGGAGGCAAGAGATGGATGGGAGGTAAGAGATGAATGGGAGGTAAGAGATGAATGGGAGGTAAGAGATGAATGGGAGGTAAGAGATGGATGGGAGGTAAGAGATGGATGGGAGGTAAGAGATGGATGGGAGGTAAGAGATGAATGGGAGGCAAGAGATGGATGGGAGGCAAGAGATGGATGGGAGGTAAGAGATGGATGGGAGGTAAGAGATGAATGGGAGGCAAGAGATGGATGGGAGGCAAGAGATGGATGGGAGGTAAGAGATGGATGGGAGGTAAGAGATGAATGGGAGGTAAGAGATGAATGGGAGGTAAGAGATGAATGGGAGGTAAGAGATGAATGGGAGGTAAGAGATGAATGGGAGGCAAGAGATGAATGGGAGGCAAGAGATGGATGGGAGGCAAGAGATGGATGGGAGGTAAGAGATGGATGGGAGGTAAGAGATGAATGGGAGGTAAGAGATGAATGGGAGGTAAGAGATGAATGGGAGGTAAGAGATGAATGGGAGGCAAGAGATGGATGGGAGGCAAGAGATGGATGGGAGGTAAGAGATGAATGGGAGGTAAGAGATGAATGGGAGGCAAGAGATGGATGGGAGGTAAGAGATGAATGGGAGGCAAGAGGTGGATGGGAGGTTGCCGGTAAGAAAGCCAACTCCCACAAGTAAGTAATGCCAGGATTGAACTGAAAGGGGAGGTAAGAGGCTACATATTAGGATATGATTTTAGCTCTTAGAGTTTTCAAATTTGACATGATCAAATCTGAAGGTTGGTTTTAAAATCTCCTTTGAAAGTTTTTACCCAGATAATTGTACCTGGCCTATATGTTTTCCAACCCTCGCATGTAAAAAAACCTTCAAGTCCATGTAAAGAAAAAATGTTTAGATAGAATACTAGAGTTTGTGGTGGGTCTAAACACGCAACAAAATGTTGTCAGCCTCTCTTTAAAACATGCTGACAGAATAGGTGTGTCAGTGTCCATTTTTTTTAAAAACCTAATACTCTATGAGCTACATTGAACTACTGTTTTAACAAAATATGAACACCCTAGTCCAGTGGTTCCCAACCTTTTTCGAGTGGCGACCCACTTTTATAAAAAGTAAGTGACCCGCGACCCCCATAGAATTAAAAAGCCGAAATTAGTATGGAAATTAATAAGCACTAAAATAAGATTTTCTAGTACACTTTCAATATGAACTACTGTTGATAACTGTTTTAATAGCATGAGTAAAATTGCATACTCTTCACTAAACCTTCGTGGTTAAGTTTTTAATTTTTAAAAAAAATTTGTAAACGCCAACCTATGTCATTATAATTATCTTAATTTTGTTGTAATCTAAGAATGGTGTTGAAAATATATTCTCGAAAAGTCAATCAATTTTACGTTTGGGTATGAATGGTGAATACTACACCAAAATTGTGTCTGCAGTTTTTCATCTTACACGGAATCATTCTGCAAATCAAAGAATTCATCTTGTAATTCATCGGGAATGCTGGCAACATCAAGGGAAGAAGTGAATGTGTAATGTGTAAAAGCAGATTCTTCTTTTTTCAGCTCAGAGAAATAGCGATGCCGTTCGTTTTCAAGAGATTCAAGATGCCCAGAAATCGCTTCTTTCAAAATTTTAATTATCTCACAATCAGATTCATCTACCACACCGCAGAGTTTCTCAAATTTACAATATTTCCAAGATTTGTTTTCTTTACCAATTTTGCAGCTTTGATAAAAATGCCCCGAGATTATCATGGAAAGTTATAATATTCGTTCATTTTCCCTGAAGCTTCAGGTTAAGCTTATCTTAATGTTCGAACAAATCTGCTAGGTATGATACTCTCTCCAACCACTCTATGTCGTTTTAAGTATACCAAAAAGTCTTGTTTCCTTTGCACTCCCAAGAACAATTTGATATCAGATTTCAATTCAAAAACACAATTTACAACATTTCGTTTGACAGCCAGCGTGCTGTAGTGTAGAAGAGCAGAACCTCGTGATCTATATTGTTTTTGCTCAGTTCTTTGAAGGCTCCAGATTTTATATAATTTACGACTTATACAAGCAATGGACTCTTGATGTCGATTGGTCAGGGCAGTGGTTAGGGAGCTAAATCTTTTCTGTTTTCTGAAAGCCCGATTTTTAGCTAAACATAGATGGCGCACCATCCGTACAAACCCCCACAGCCGTTCTAACCCATTTTAATCATCCAGTTTCAAAAAAGATATTTATTTTCTCCATGCTATCTTCACAAAAGAGCAACTCTTTTATCTTTGCTATCATCCGCATGAATATCGACACAGACCAGCAACTGCGAACACGAACTCACGTCTGTTGATTTATCAACTTGAAAAACAGACAATGGTGAAAGCTTAATTTCAATAAAAATGTGTTATTTAACATTTACGTACAGGCAGCGTTTGATGAGATTTTCTCCTGTTGTTTTTTTTTTTTTTTTTTTGCTTGGCATTTTCTAGCGCGACTTCATTTGATGCTTGCTTGCACTATTGCTGGTGAAAACTTCCTGTTCGATCAAGTCTCTGGCGTTTGCAACTAGCTTCTTATCGACGAAAGAACTCCATATATAATTATATTTTTGGTGTGTTCCGAATGACTCGTCTCAAATGACGTTTAAGTTTTGAAGATTTCATAGATTCGTGACTGAGAACAACTTTGTACATTGCGCTTTGTTTCGTCTCCATTACATTTCCAGTGATGTTAATGAAGCCGAATTTCAAAAATTCTTCTAAATATTTATGTTTTGTTTCAAATTACTAAGGTTTAGTATATCAGTTGGCGACCCCCCAGAAAGACCTTCGCGACTCCCAGGGGGGTCGCGACCCCCAGGTTGGGAACCCGTGCCCTAGTCTATATAAGCCTGGAAGTAAGTGAATTTTAGGATCAATTTTTTTTTTAACTTTCCAGAGCTTTGAACTCCCTGATAACAAACTGACTGGGGAATCTTTCAGTGACACAGAGGAGGAAGATGAATATGGCTACACAAAAAGTAAGTTGAGCAGGTTTAATATTATGATTGAAAATTATCATATGGTTTATGAAGTTGTAAGCAATTTCCAATACATTGAACTTTTAAAATTGAGACGCATAACAAGATTTTTAACACTAATAATAATTATAAGGCTTAAAAAGTATAGACTGTAATTATGTTGGAACCTTAAAAAACTTTTTTTTATAATTGAAATTTATCAGATTAATTGATAATTATGCTATTAACTATTAGTTGGGGGTTTTCTGAAGCATGAAAACATTATTTAACAGGTTTTGTCCTAAAACATAGAGCCTTTATCACGGATTACATGTGCTTACCTGTGTATTTCAGAACGGATACAGAAGAAATACAGTGACATGCCTGGCCTGGTCCAGCTGGTTGACCTTGACCGAGGCAGCGCGGCCATGGGGATGGGTCTGGCCGGCAACAAAGACCGGAGCAAGATGAGTGTGTTTGTGGCCGGCATTCAGCCAGACAGCCCCGCAGCTAATGACGGGAGAATCCAAGTCGGGGACGAGCTACTGGAGGTAACTCATGGTGGCAATGATTGGTTGCAACAATTTACTTAGTCGTTTCCCTTGGTTTTATCTGCTTCATAATGTGATGTAAAGAAGTGATTGACTTTGCACTTACATACTACGGATAAGAAAATGCTGGTGTCTAGTTTTTTTTAAATCCTGAATAATATTATAAAGGTCTTCTTTACCATGCCAATTATATTTGTTAACTTGAATACTAGTATTGATCATTAATTATATACATGGTTTTTTTTCTAATTTGTTATTTTTACACCTTAACAGGTCAATGGAATAAATTTGCATGGCCTCAGTCACCTGAATGTATCAGCTGTCATTAAAGGTGTCACCACACCTGTGGTCAAGCTAATCACACACAGGTAGGTGATCACAGGTGCTTGTCATAGGTGGGGGGGGATGTTGTCACATAAGCCAAATGGTTCTGATTACATCATCTCTTTTAGTTGTGTAAGGGAGTAATGGAGAAATGATTGTCTCCTTAGTTTTCATTAGATCCTAGTGTGTGTTTTTGTTGTAAAATTAAGTGCACTGTGTGCACCAAGATGGAAAACACTGCATAATGCTGTGAAAGAGATATAAAACAGTGCCTTGTATAAAAAAATTCTTTGACAAAAATGCATTTTGATGGAACCAAAACAATATACACTATGACTATGTTGTAAAAAATGCACTACAATGCATAAACACCATAATATTGAACTTGTTGCTATTTTGTAGTTTTTATGTTGTTGTTGCTATTTTGTAGTTTTTATGTTGTTGTTGTTGTTTGAGAGAGTGGAAATTCTGCGCCTGTAAGGGTTGATATTAGTGTTTGGGTCAAAATATATGTGCGTGAGAGGGTCACACTTTACTTGCCTGTGAGGGCTACATTTTGTGTGAGGGCTACATTTTGTGTGAGAGCTACATTTTGTGTGAGGGCTACATTTTGTGTGAGAGCTACATTTTGAGAGAGGGCTATATTGTGATTGGCCCATTGAGGTATTTATATTTACTTTCATGTCTTGCAGACGTGAAGACTTCCTTGACCACATGGCAGTGAAACCACTTCGCTATGGAGGGTCCAGTCAGTTTGATGTGAGTAGTCTAACATTTGTTTTTTTAACATCATTACGTGTATGCAAGACTTATTGAGAATCAAACTTTATTTTGTCTTAAAATTGATCTATCTGAAACATTTTAGGTACCACTAGAAGATAACACTAAAAGGTATATGATGAACTGTTCAGTTTAGGTTTATTTTGCTTTTACATGTTTTCAACAATTGAGAATTACAAGGCTTATGTTTTAAGTTCATTTGTTCCTCGATTTTATTTTCTGTGTTAATTTTTATAGTGTTAAATTTCATTTAAACAGGCTTTGTTTATTTGTTTTGTTCTTACTGCAGTACTATAGAGGCAACCATTTTCATGGTGTTCATCTGGTACTGAAAATCAGAATAAATTAATTTCTTTATCAACCTTCATCCACACTAGCCATGGTCAACACAATTTTTTACTACTGTCGAACTAGGTCAGCACACAATGTTTACTACTGTCAAACTAGGTCAACACACAATGTTTACTGCTGCCAAACTAGGTCAGCATAGAATTTTTCTCCTACTAACACAATGTTCGCTACTGTCAAACTAGGTCAGCTAAATATTTTCTCTTCTGCCTTTAAACTAGGCCATCAGACATTTTTCTCCACACCACTAAACTAGGTCACCAGACAATTTTCTCCACACCACTAAACTAGGTCACCAGACAATTTTCTCCACACCACTAAACTAGGTCACCAGACAATTTTCTCCACACCACTAAACTAAGCCATCAGACATTTTTCTCCACACCACTAAACTAGGTCACCAGACAATTTTCTCCACACCACTAAACTAGGTCACCAGACAATTTTCTCCACACCACTAAACTAGGTCACCAGACAATTTTCTCCACACCACTAAACTAAGCCATCAGACATTTTTCTCCACACCACTAAACTAGGTCACCAGACAATTTTCTCCACACCACTAAACTAAGCCATCAGACATTTTTCTCCACACCACTAAACTAGGTCACCAGACAATTTTCTCCACACCACTAAACTAGGTCACCAGACAATTTTCTCCACACCACTAAACTAGGTCACCAGACAATTTTCTCCACACCACTAAACTAAGCCATCAGACATTTTTCTCCACACCACTAAACTAGGTCACCAGACAATTTTCTCCACACCACTAAACTAGGCCACCAGACAATTTTCTCCACACCACTAAACTAAGCCATCAGACATTTTTCTCCACACCACTAAACTAGGTCACCAGACAATTTTCTCCACACCACTAAACTAGGCCATCAGACATTTTTCTCCACACCACTAAACTAGGTCACCAGACAATTTTCTCCACACCACTAAACTAGGTCACCAGACAATTTTCTCCACACCACTAAACTAGGCCATCAGACAATTTTCTCCACACCACTAAACTAGGTCACCAGACAATTTTCTCCACACCACTAAACTAGGTCACCAGACAATTTTCTCCACACCACTAAACTAAGCCATCAGACATTTTTCTCCACACCACTAAACTAAGCCATCAGACATTTTTCTCCACACCACTAAACTAGGTCACCAGACAATTTTCTCCACACCACCTAACTAGGCCACGAGACAATTTCCTCCACACCGCCAAACTAGGTCAGCACGAAATGTTCTCTTCCTTCCTCTGGCATGCTGGTATAGCGCGAGCCACTGAATGCTGGTATAGCGCGAGCCACTGATTACTCCACAGATCGATATGACGTCACCACTTCCTGTTCAGCACGGATGTTGTTTTTTGTTTTTTAGCCAAATTTGCTTTCTTAGTTTCAATTTGTTACTTTCGAGATTTGATGACCTAAAATAACTTTCTGATTGTACGGTAAATTGAAACTCCGCCTCCTGAACAACACATTGATTTTATTTTAGTCTGTGTGACTTTTGTCACGTACGTCTGTGTGACTTGTGTCACGTATGTTTGTGTGACTTTTGTCACTTATGTTTTGTGACTTTTGTCACGTATGCGTGTGTGTCTCTTGTCACGTATGCTTGTGTGATTCTTGTCACATATGTCTGTGTGACAAATGTCACATTATGTATATGTGTGATGAATGTCATCTTAATGTCATGGATGACAAATGTCACATCATGTATGTAACACAAATGTCACGTTATGTATGTGTGATACATGTTATCTTATGTCAAGGATGACAATTGTCACATCATTTCTGTATGACAATTGTCACATTATGTATGTGTGATTTGTGTCATCTTATGTAATAGATGACAAATGTCACATGTCTGTGTGACAAATGTCATATTTCTGTTTAACAAATGTCACATCAAGCCTGTATGACACATGTCATCTTATGTCATGGATGACAAATGTCACATCAAGCCTGTATGACACATGTCAACTTATGTCATGGATGGCAAATGTCACATCAAGCCTGTATGACACATGTCATGTAACCTGTGACGTCACTCCCCAGGTTCAGTCCGTCCCGCCCGTCTCCCCCCGTGGGTCTGCAGACAGCAGCCGGCGCGAGAGCTCGGCCACCTCCCACTCCCCAACGTCTGCTCCTGCAGCAACGACCCCCACCCCAGCGCCGGTCCTGCCACCCCTGACCCCTACAGATGCAGTTCAAATCATTATACTTCACAAGGTAAGACACCTCTTATATTTATCACATAGGCCTATGCCTTTACATTAATATATTTTTATGTACACTTTACATCAGAGCAACGTATTTATTGTACACTTTACAACAGAGCAACGTATTTTATGCACATTTTGCATTAGTGGAACATATTTGTATGTACACTTTCAACTGGTTGAATGAATAGTCGTGTCAATTAGTGATTAGTTGAGCATGCTTTTCGTGTACATTTTTGTATTGGCTGAACGGTTTTCGAGAAAACTTTGATTGGTTGAATAGTGTCGTGTCTAAGTTAGAGAGTGTGAACAATTGTTGTTGTATCACGATCGCTTGAATCAATCTTATAACATTACGAGGCTTCCCACGTTTTAGTTCCGGTAAATTTTGATTGGTTGTTTTCTATGCTCTATCCACGTGGTTGTTCACTCATGGTTGTATGATATCATAATGACCAGTGTTTCTTCCAGACTTTTTTCTCCGGGGGGGGGGGCGGTAGACTTTCTTCGGGGGGGGGGGGGCGAGGGCGGACACTGTTAGAAGTATATATTTTCTATATAAATTATACAAATTTCATTGCGTTCGGGGGGCCGGTAGAATTTTTTTCGCCCCCTCAAAGAGATGCCTGGAAGAAACTCTGATAATGACAGTACTGCTGTATTGACGCTGACGTGTGCTTTTGTTTAACATCAACTAAATACATGTTCAGGGGCGGTAGATACTGAATGCTGACCCCCTCTAGTTGTGGTAATTGAAGGCCTCTGTGACCAACTCGTCCTTTGGTGGAAATCAGAGTTTCTTCCGGGCATCTCTTTGGGGGGGGGGGGGCGAAGAAAGTCTACCCTCCCGAACGAAATGGAATTTATATAGAAAATATATACTCTTATCAGTGGTGGTAATTGAAGGCCTCTGTGACCAGTGACCAACCCGCCCAGTGACCAACCCGCCCAGTGACCAACCCGCCCAGTGACCAACCCGCCCAGTGACCAACCCGCCCAGTGACCAGCCCGACATGGCGCAGGCCTACATTGATTTTCCCGCGGGTTTGCGTGGGGCTGGGACGAGAGATAAATATAGATTAGCAGTGTGAAGGTATCGACTGGGTCAAGCTTGGGGTAGAAGGCCGTTAACTAAATGATATGGCCCCAACCAGGGCCCAACTAGAGCCGGACTGACCGTTAACTAAATGTCTAAGTTGTACTGCACGCCCTTCATTAAAAAAAACACGTTAATTGCATGGCTATTTAACGATAAATTACACTTTTTTTTATATATTTAACTCAAATAAATTGGCCTTCACACTTCATCCTTCCGATGTTGACAAAAGATGGTCATTAGGCCTAAATGTTAAATCAGATGTTGTTGGCTCCTAGACGTCTGAAAGGACGTGTCTAGTTGTTGGAAGAAAATCATGACGCCTGAAGAGACGTATCTAGCCTCTAGCTGTTTGAAGGCAGTTGTTTAGTAAGACATCTACTAGTGTCATCCTATCAGGTGACAAGAGACGGGTGATTGAATCAGAATAAGATAAGAGATGGTATCCGAAATAGATTAAGGCTATGGTAAAGACTGTTTATGGACTAGTTAGAGCTTAGATTTTCTAGGTTTAAAACTAGTGTTTTAGTCAGGGTTAAGGTTAGTGCTACTGTTATGAGGACTTGGTATTGATTTAATCATGCTAAAACGTAAGAACGTCGATTTTACTCCGTGTTGATCTGACAATTCTAAGACCATTTTTGGTTGGGTTGTGGCCAGTGGCGGTGAGTGACCTCAAATCCTCAGACGTGTTGGCACTGTTTTCTCCACCCTCCCTCACCCACTCCTCCCCTACCACCCACCCCCTCCCTTCCCTCACGGGAAATGTTACTTCCACCCCACCGACATTAAATACAGACGGTCCTCTCAGCAGACGACACCAAAAGAGTATCTTTATCCAAAAATCACTTTAAATTTGAAACAGTTTCTATCTCACTCCTTCACCTCACCCTATTCCACGCATCCTCACTCATACCCTCCCAATTCTCCCCCCCCCCCTAACTTGTGCCAGTCTTCACGTAAAACTTCCAAAGCCTCCATATTAAAGAAGAAGAGATCGTGAGAGAGAGAGAGAGAGTTTTCGTCGCCAAACCCCGTTCGATAAATTCAGACCCGTTCCATTTTGGCTTTTTGCGCAAGTGTGTGTGTGTGTTTGCGGGTGAGTGTGATTGTGTGTGTGTATTAAACCTAATGGGGGCGGGCCGAGGGGGTAAAGCCTCCATCATGGCCAGCTTGAACTAAACACCAAGCAAAGGGACCAGGACATACAGAGGTGTCTCCACCAACGGCCGTAGTTTGGTGGGGTTGTGTGAGCCTTTCATCCACTTGCTCGTGTGTTTTACTTATGTGTTCTTTTGCTCGTTGGAAAGATTTCTTTCATTAAAGGAATTTTTTTTTTGAAAAATGTATCTGAAAACTGGGTTGCTTTTTCTGTTATTGATTGGTTGTGGGAGATGTTTTAATGGCTCTGCTGCCGAGCTTGAAGTTTTGCCGCTGTGTGTTGAATGTGAATCTTGGTGTGTGTGATTTGTGAATCTCGGTATGTGTGATGTGTGAATCTTGATGTGTGTGATGTGTGAATGGTATGTTTGGTATGTGAATCTCGATGTGGGTGTGGTATGTGATTGTCGATGTGGGTTTGGTATGTGATTGTCGATGTTGTTGTAGAAACGTAACTACCATAATTATGGTAGCATTACATAGGACTCTGGATTGACAGAACTCATCTGTTTTTTATTGTAATCTAAAATTGGGCTTAATGAATTCGCTTTACATTTATTGTAATAATTACAAATTTGATTATTTTTTATTTTTTATTTTTTGTAAAATGTTATTGTGGTTTAAATTGCGAGTTGATGCATAGATAGAAGATATATTTTGTTGTTGTTGATGTTGTGAAGACATTGATTGCTAGGATGACCTCTTTCCCCCCGCCCCCCCCCCCCCCTTGTGTTTTCTCTCTACCAGCAAGCGTCTCAAGGCTTAGGCTTCGGCATTGAAGAGGACAACAAAAATGGCCGTAACGGGATTTATGTGAAGAGTATCACACAAGGAGGGATCGCTGATAAAGTATGTAGCAATACCCACCAGAACAATTGACTTATTTTATGGCCACACTTGTGAAAAATATTTAAATATTAGAAAAAAAATTGTTGTTGTTAGTTTTTAAATATTGATTATTCTCCTTGAAAAAATCTTTAATTACTTTCAATGTCTTGTCTACATAACATCGTATCTTAATTAAACAGGATCGCCAGTTGGAAGTGGGAGATGAGATTCTTGAAGTTGGTGAAAAATCTTTAGCTGGTTGCCATTATGAAAAGGTGGGTTGGAAGAAATTAGCAATTATGAAAAGGTGGGTTGGAAGAAATTAGCCATTATGAAAAGGTGGGTTGGAAGAAATTAGCCATTATGAAAAGGTGGGTTGGAAGAAATTAGCCATTATGAAAAGGTGGGTTGGAAGAAATTAGCAATTATGAAAAGAAAGTAGCAAAGTCTTTAAGCATTGTGGCAGAGATTTTAGAAGCTGTTGTTTTTACTTGTAACAGTGTTAGCTTTAGGGGATGTTAGAGGTGGTCTGTGAGATAAGTCTCTATTGTGTGGGTCATAATCTCTCAAATCTCTAAGAACTAAAACTAAATGTAGCAATAAAAGACTGACAAGCATCTACAAGATAAAATATAAGCTATTTGCGTCCAAAAATAGGGCACCTTTTTGTATTTAAATATGAAGTGGAGAGATACTTAGAGGGTTTAATTTTAGTTTGTCAAAATAATTTGAAATGCACTGAGAACAAAACTGGTGTTTAGTGTAAATAATGATATACATAAAGTATAAAATAGTGTAAGCGCATGTATTTTAGATTGGACATGAGGTCTTGATAAGTTCTACTCACCAATTTAAGATTATTTCTGTAACATGTGAATTTTTCCACTAGTCTATAGACACACTCTAATGTGAAATGTTCCACTAGGCTATAGACACACTTTACTCTACACAAATGTATAATCTTTCTATAACACATGTGAAATGTTCCACTAGGCTATAGACACACTTCGCTCAACACAAGGCTCTGTGCGCCTGAAGGTTCGCAAAGCTAATCAGCCCAACAACCTGGCTAGTACTGGCAATTCTGCTCACGTGCATGGGAAGATGCAACTCATCAACACACTGGGTAGGTAGAGGTTCTTTTCTTGACCAACTCAGCACACTGGGTAGGTAGAGGTTCTTTTCTTGACCAACTCACTGGGTAGGTAGAGGTTCTTTTCTTGACCAACACACTGGGTAGGTAGAGGTTCTTTTCTTGACCAACACATTGGGTAGGTAGAGGTTCTTTTCTTGACCAACACATTGGGTAGGTAGAGGTTCTTTTCTTGACCAACTCAATCAACACACTGGGTAATGTAGAGGTTCTTTTCTTGACCAACACACTGTGTAGGTAGAGGTTCTTTTCTTGACCAACACATCAACACACTGGGTAGGTAGAGGTTCTTTTCTTGACCAACTCAATCAACACACTGGGTAATGTAGAGGTTCTTTTCTTGGTCGACTCATCAACACACTGGGTAGGTAGAGGTTCTTGTCTTGACCAACACACTGGGTAGGTAGAGATTCTTTTCTTGACCAACACATCAACACACTGGGTAGGTAAAGGTTCTTTTCTCTTGACCAAGTCATCATCACTGGTTAGGTAGAGATTTTTTCTTGACCACACACCATGTTCTATTATCAACAACTTTAACATGATTATCACTGTACAGAATATTTTAACAATTAACATTATAAACAATTTGATGTATTGTAAATTATCAATATCACATTAAGCCTTAAAAGCACAGATGTAATTGTGTTTATTTGACCGCAGGTGAATCTACGACAGATCCAGGGGAATCTGAAGACACAGTTGACCCCAAAACTTGTCCCATCGTTGTAGGCAAGAGGACATTTATAGAAATAGAGAAAGGCAAAACAGGACTAGGACTTAGCATAGTTGGAGGCTCTGATACCCTGTTGGTAAGATGGGAGCTTGAACAAGTTTTATAAAAAGTTGGATGAAAACCTCTGGGGGAGGAAACAAAACAAATTTACTGTTTTTAGCATGATGAAAAATACATTTTAAATAAATGTTTTTTTTGTAACAAATGTTAAAGTATTATTTTTGGGTGAATTAAATCAGGGAGCTATAATAATTATTATGCATGAAATTTTAAAGTAGAAACATACATTCTTGACCAGGGAGCTATAATTATCCATGAAATTTTAAAGTAGAAACATACATTCTTGACCAGGGAGCTATAATTATCCATGAAGTGTATGAAGATGGTGCAGCAGCAAGAGATGGCAGGCTGTGGGCTGGGGATCAAATCCTTGAGGTGAGACATTTCTAAACTGGTCAATTTCTAATCTGGTCAATTTCTAAACTGGTCAATTTCTAATCTGGTTAATTTCTAAACTGGTCAATTTCTAAACTGAGGATTGTGTTACAAGTTTAAAGTAAATTAATATATGAGGTGGGGGGGGGGAGAGTTTTTAACATGTTCTATTAAAAAAACTATGTTGTAAATTATATCTCATCTATGCAATGTATGATAATTCCTCACCTGTCTTAACCATCTATTACTGCTAAAGATTGTTATTTTAAAACATAATTAAGAAATAATTAAATTCCATTTTATTTTATTCACAATTATACTCAAATCAGATTGCTATTTTCATAAGAAAAAAATTTCATCAATATATCTAAATTTTCTCACCATATTTTACTTAAGGTTAATGGCGAGGATTTGACAGAAGCTACCCACAACCGTGCACTCCAAGTTCTCCGCCAGACGCCGCCTGTAGTCCAGATGGCGGTGTACAGGGATGAGAGCCAAGTGAGGGAGGAAGACATCCTCAATGTCTTCACTGTGGAGCTGATGAAGCGGCCTGGCAAAGGCCTGGGTCTCAGCATTGTGGGCAAGAAAAGTGATGTCGGCATTTACATTTCTGATATTGTAAGTTGCTCAAGCAATAAATATTCTCTAGCCAACCTGCTAAGTGACAAAACAAATCCTATATTAAAGTTGCCCCCCCCCCCCCCATCTTGGGATAATGCTAAGATTTATTAAAATTTATAATTATATCAAGTGTTCCTTGCCAAACAATGTTCAGTTCAATCAAAAAGTGGTATGTCTGAATGACCTGTTCCAATAGTGCTTAAAACTGGCTTTTGATTTACATGAATATGCAAAAACTGAATTATAAATGAATTTTAAGTAAAATAAACTTGATAAAAGTTATAACATTACTTGTAAGTTACTGTTTTCTTCATAATTTCTCAAAAAAATTAGTTTAAAAGTCTTCAAAGGGGGCTTGTTTTCATAGTCATGTAATAAACCCAGCTTTGACCATTATTTGTGAGTCTTGTAATAACTCCAGGTTTAACTGTCCCATGATGGGTTAGTCTTGTAATGACTCCAGGTTTAACTGTCCCATGATGTGAGTCTTGTAAGGACTCCAGGTTTGACTGTCCCATGATGTGTCTTGTAATGACTCCAGGTTTAACTATCCAATGATGTGCTAGTCTTGTATGACTCCAGGTTTAACTGTTCCATGATGTGTCTTGTAATGACTCCAGGTTTAACTGTCCCATGATGTGAGCCTTGTAATGACTCCAGGTTTAACTGTCCCATGATGTGTTAGTTTTGTAATGACTCCAGGTTTAACTGTCCCATGATGTGTTAGTTTTGTAATGACTCCAGGTTTAACTGTCCCATGATGCATTAGTCTTGTAATGACTCCAGGTTTAACTGTCCCATGATTTGAGTCTTGTAATGACTCCAGGTTTAACTGTCCCATGATTTGAGTCTTGTAATGACTCCAGGTTTAACTGTCCCATGATTTGAGTCTTGTTATGACTCCAGGTTTAACTGTCCCATGATGTGTTTCAGGTGAAGGGTGGAGTGGCCGAGGCTGATGGTAGACTAATGCAGGGTGACCAGATTCTGGCGGTCAATGGGGAGGACATGAGGAACGCCACCCAAGAATACGCTGCTGCTGTTTTAAAGGTTTCAATTCTAAGTCTAGACATTTGTTGTTTTAAAGGTTTCAAATCTAAGCCTAGACTGTTGTTTTAAAGGTTTCAAACCTAAGGCTAGACTGTTGTTGCTTTAAAGGTTTCAAATCTAAGCCTACACTGTTGTTGTTTTAAAGGTTTCAAATCTAAGCCTAGACTTGTTAATGTTTTAAAGGTTTCAAACCTAAGGCTAGACTGTTGTTGTTTTAAAGGTTTCAAACCTAAGGCTAGACTGTTGTTGTTTTAAAGGTTTCAAATCTAAGCCTAGACTGTTGTTGTTTTGGTTTTCATGGGTTGGATTTTATTAAATTTTATTATTTTTTTCAAATAACTTCCTGTTGTTAGTTTGATTCTACTTTTAAATGAGTCTACTGTGACAATCAATAAATTATGGATATTTTTTATCATGGATAATTTTTTAGATACTTTATCTTTAAGTTGAACTTTGAGCAAGTACTGACATATGAATCCATTATTTTCTGCAGACTTTGATGGGCAAGGTTAGCTTGACAGTAGGACGCCTCAAGGCTGGATCCAAGGCTTCATCAAGGAAGAACTCTAATCATGGCACATCTCTTAAAAAGTCTGATTCTTCTGCTAGCAACAAATCTAAAGGCAGACATTCCAAGAGTAAGGGCAATTCAGCTTTCTAACTAAACATACATATATATTTTATATAGACTGCATATACATTGTAAGATTTGTTACATACCATAACTAAATAAAAATATAGATGTCATTTTCTATACAAATATTAAAATATGAAAATTGGTTGTAAAAATGTTTGTTTTCTTGAATATAGTCATCATGTTTTTAATAAATGACTTGTTCTGTACTGTTAGTGATAAATGACCGCAATTTTGTCATCAATTATGCCCGGTGTCGAAGATTTTTTCTAGTGCAATAATTCAAATACATCCAGTTTCATTAATCATTATTTAAGTACTTATTATATTGTTCCAAATTTTTACAACAAAATGAATATATTTAATTGTGTACATGTAAGTCACGAATTATTTTTGCATAATAAAAGAAAATTAGTCCACCTTAAAATTGTTGTAATGAAAGTATTCACATTGGGGAGTGTTCTCACTGTGATAAATAGAGACAGCAATCAGATTTTTTTCCTTCTCTCACGTCTGCAACCACATGGCTGCTTACTGCTTCTCTTGTTTGTCTAACTTGTTTGGTTTGGGTTTTTTAGTTTTTTTTAGGGGAGAGTCACGTTTACGAACTAATCAATTTATAACATACCTTTTTTTTTTAAAATGGTTTTTTATTTACTAAAAATGTGTTTGCATCAACATATTTTTTAATGGCTTTGACTACTAAATATTTAAACTAGCACCCTAAATTCTATTAGACAATTTTTTAAACCAGCTCCCTAAGTTTGCAAAATCAAAATTGCTTTGGCGGGTTTCACCAGCATAAAAATACCTTAGTTTGCATTCTCTTTGCAGCTTTTGTAACCTTTAATTGTTTTGTTCCCCCCAACCCTTTTAATATTTTATACAACTTTTAACCAGTGTATTTTACTTTTTATTAAAACTTTCCTCCAGTAGCATTTTATCTCTGTTTTTTTTTTTTTGTTATTAGAAATTGTGTCCATGAATTCTTGGCAATATTTCATTTTGTCAAATGACAAGTATAATGACAGAAAATATTTCTTTTCAAAATCCTTGATCAAAACCAATTATAATACTCTCTCAATAATTTTTTTAATGTGATTGTCAAGAATTTACGTTATGTTTCCCATATACTCACACTTTAATCTATTCTAGACATACCACTGAGACTTCTCCTTGTTTCAAAATCCCTTCCTTACACTTTTTATATCAAACTTTGTTAACTACCAATCAAATCCATTTTATTGTAACTGTATGTTTATACACCATAATTTCTAGTCCATACAATTTTTTTTCTTATTTTTATTTCCAACTTTCATTCAAACCCCCATTCATTTCAAAGAACTTTTTTCATCTTTTGCCAATTCAAACATCAAAATAGTTTTCAAAAATCTCACACTTTTTAGATTCTTTGTTTCACATTGTCTTAGCACTATCGTTCAATTTCACAAAATTATTGTCCACACAGAGCAACCTTAGAGCAATAAACTTTGTTGAAATCAAACCCAACAAGATCATCCCCTTACAACTTCTTGAATGACCTTGACCCCACTAGTTTGATGTGTCTAAAAGTGGAGCTTTGAGATGCCCCCTGTTTAACAATGACTTGTTTTTCCCTGTTTTTTTTTCTCACAGGTATACCCAACTCCAAAAGCTACTAAAATCCTCTGGCATTTCTAAGAGTTGTTTTTTTTTAACTTAAATAATGAGTTCTTTTAAATGGAAGAAAAAAATGCGAATTTTTGAAAATAGGGCTTATACAAAGCAAAATAATTTCCTTTCATCTATTTAATTGAAGAATTTATGTGACTGTTGAGTTGTTGTTTGAATTGAATTATGGGGATAGAAAGTATTTTGAGAAAATGTATTGCATTAGAATAGTTGAATATTTGTACACTACAATGAAAAATTCATGTTCATTTATGCAAAAAATAAATGATATTGTAAAAATTTAGTTTCAAGATTTGAATATGCTTGCAAGAGGATGTGATGAGGATTACAGAAATTAATTGAAACTTTCTTCTATTGATATCAAAGTTCTATGTCTGTAATCTGTATGAATGGCATACTTTTGATTTTTAGATACACATATTATTACCATTGTTTTAAATCTTGTTTGTGAATAGTTTTTATAGTTTTCTATGACAAGAAATAAAAAAAAGTATCGTAAAAAAAAAGTATGTACTTCTTTGATTACTTTTTTTTTTGTTTCTGAAAAGTGTCAGAACATCAGACATCGTTAGACCAATTTACTTTGTAGATAATAAAACTGTCCTTAGAGCATGAATTAAAATTGAATATTACAATCCTTGTGGTATAGTTTTATAAAGCTCTTAAGAAATGACCAGAGTGATTCAAAAAATGACTTTAAAAAACCCAAATGAGGTTTGTTATTAAAAGCTTTAGAATTTTCCAATTTTTTTAAACTTTTATTTTATTACTGTGTCTGAACTAGACATGTGTATTTCCTCATTGTTTAAATTCATTTAGGAAAGCTCATGTATGTTTTTTTTTTAATTTTGTTATGTTATTTTTTGTTTATTAGTTTTCTCAATCATAGCATGCAATGCATTGCTTTTTTTTTTAAAAGAAAGCATGTTATGTCCCTTGGTTAAATTTTAGAAGTTTGTCTTAGTTGCCTCCCCTTCCTTGCATGGGCCTACCTTAAACCCTGCACATGGATGCCTTCATATTTATTTTAATTCACATTACCACTGCTAATAAAGCTAATAATCTCGTCTCCATTTTATTTAACTAATAAAGACTTAAGAAAGATTATTCTTACCAAGCTTTACTTTTTAATGATGTCCAAACTATGTGCTGATTGTTATGAATTTATTGTTTCATTTTATTTTTTATTATGTTATTTTTTTCAAAATTTAATTTGTTACTATATTTGGTTTTATAACTGCAGGCATGATGTATTTTCCAAGTTTAAAATAAAAATCACTATATACAATTCATATATAAAACCAACAACAGCTATAGTGTTCATCAAATAAAGTGACACTATATTTTTATATTAAATACAATTTAAGAAATCTAACTACACACAAAATTTGATGTTGGAACTAAATGATGATATTCAAAACTATAGGCCCTTTTGTTTTTTAGCTGCTTTTATACATTCAGATTTAGATTTTTTTTTTTTAATTATTGCAGTAGTATCCTGAATTTCAAAATCACTTTTGCTAGTTTGTATTCATTAATACATTTCTATACTGCTACAAGTTTTATCATCAATAAATACTTAATTTCAAGCTTAAATTGCAAATCATAATTTTTTTATTTTTTTTTTTTTAAGTTTGCTTGAAACCTCTCTTATAGAAAACAAAATGTATCTTCTAAAATTATAATATAGGCTATATTCATTTCATATTATAAAATAAACAAGCAAGTTTAATTACATTTTATCAAATTTCATAATACTTGAAATTGATTGAAGTTTAAAAGGGTTAACTGCTAAAAATGTATGTGGATGTTTTATTCACATATGCTAAAAAAGATAGAAACTATAAAAACTAATTTCTCATAAACTCACCAGGGATTAACAAGTCTATTTAAGCCATGAAATCTTTATCTCGTTAACTCTAGGCCCTAGTGAAGATCCCAATCACCTGAGGATTGTAGAACTGGAGCAGGATCTCTCAGGATCATTTGGCATCAGCGTGGCAGGGGGGCTTAACAGCCCTATTGGCGACGCTCCAGTTATCATTGCCTCATTGAACCCTACAGGCCCAGCTGCTTTTTCTGGAAAATTAAGGGTCAGTCATCAGTTAACCCTTTCTTTCCTGTGATGTTTATTCATGTTTATGTGTGTTTATGTGTGAAAATTAAGGGGCAGTCATCAGTTAACCCTTTCTTTCCTGTGATGTTTCTTCATGTTTATATGTGAAAGTGAAGGATCAGTCTTTAGTTAACCCTTTCTTTCCTGCGCTATTTGTTCATGTTTATGTGTGAAAATTAAGGGGCAGTTATCAGTTAACCCTTTTTTTCCTGTGCTGTTTGTGTTTGAAGATTAAAGGTTAGCTATTCATTTACCTTATCTCTCCAGGGCTGTGCTCTTGTCTAGATGTTTTTAATCATCACTTAATTTGAACTAAATTTTATTTAAATTAAATCTATAATGGCAGACAAGGTAGACCCACAATTTATTCTAAAACTCAGTAATACAAAAAGAACACATCCATACATCTCTTTGCTTGTCTCATCTACATTTGTTTTGATTTCACATCTTAAACATTAGGCGTGTGTAATTTTCCCCATGATACTACATCTCGTAAAACAATATGTAGCCATCAGGAATTTTTCATCAACCAACACTATGATTTTTTTTTAATTATTACTTTGAGGAAATAAACATACAGTTTGTAGTTAGTGTAAGAAATGGCAAAGAAAAGTGTTTTATAAAATTGTTCATCTCATTAGGCAGGAGATAAAATCCTGAACATCAACGGCACATCTACGGAGGGTATGACACACGAGCAGGTCATCAGTACCTTGAGAGCTGCCAAAAAAGTGACACTCCATGTGGTCCAAGGTCAGCCTCCATCCCCTGTTTTTCTTGCTTCAGTCTTTATATCCCATTCGTCTGAATTTCTTTTTTACTGGTTTTTTTATTTATTTATTTCCTCTCAAATACCTGAGACAATATCTAAATACCTGAGACAATATCTAAATACCTGAGACAATATCTAAATACCTGAGACAATATCTAAATACCTGAGACAATATCTAAATACCTGAGACAATATCTAAATACCTGAGACAATATCTAAATACCTGAGTCAATATCTAAATACCTGAGACAATATCTAAATACCTGAGACAATATCTAAATACCTGAGACAATATCTAAATACCTGAGACAATATCTAAATACCTGAGACAATATCTAAATACCTGAGACAATATCTAAATACCTGAGACAATATCTAAATACCTGAGACAATATCTAAATACCCGAGACAGTATCTAAATACCTGAGACATTATCTAAATACCTGAGACAATATCTAAATACCTGAGACAATATCTATCTCAGGAAAATTGCACTACGGTACAAATTATTGCTCCTGTTTTGATGGAGTTGTTATCTTCACTAGGTGAGGCAATATCTATCACTGGCCAAAGGTCAAGACAAGTTAGTGGAGATATGAGCGACACCACGTTGAAAAATCAAAATCTTGAAATGGAAGAGCTAGAAGATGACGGGTAATTAATTGACTAATTAAGCTAAATTAATTGATTGTGTTATGCTTGTCAGAGATGGCACAATAGAGTGGGTTAACTGGGTCCTAGCTTATAAGTCTGGAATATGTCATCTACACAGGCATTCAGGCTTTCCTTGAGGAATCCTGCTTAGAACTGTACCAGACATGAGTCTGTAAAGGTGGTTGGGCAATGTATAGGCTTTTTAAATAGTGTGGCTGTAGAAAGAAATGAAACTTACTTGATATGCAGCATCAATCATCAGATCTGAAATGGGTTACTTCATTACAGCATTAAAAATTTTCCTAGTAGCTACATCCACCAAAGACTCAGGGATTAGCTGTTTATATCATTATCTTGATAAGTTCAAGTCTCTTTTTATCATTTCCTAGAAAAGATCAAGTCTTTAAACACTATAAAATACCTTGTTTAGCCTTTATTTTTTAATTAATTAAATTTTTAAAATTTCATTCCAAAATTTATTTTTTCAATCCAGTCAACCTCCACAATACAAGACCATAACCCTAAACCGTGGACCTGACGGACTTGGATTTTCAATTATTGGTGGCCACGGCAGTCCACACGGGGACCTACCCATCTACGTCAAAACTGTCTTTAACAAAGGGGCCGCTGCTGATGAAGGCACCCTCAGGCGCGGGGATCAGATTTTGTACGTCAACTCCCAGAAATTAGAAGGATTAACGCATGAAGAAGCTGTAAACATTCTAAAGAACACTAGTGGAATTGTGACACTTGGAATACTTTCATGAGGACTGTGCTGCTGCAAGATAGTTTCTCTAGGATGATGCAAATTTTGTTAAATAAATTCATGTGAGAAATTAATCATCCAAAATTTGTTTGGATTTTTAACTAAGAATTATGTATTTTTTTACTTTCGATTTTAAAAAATAATTGAACATCAATTACATATAAATTTTGTAATACGATTTTTTTAAAAACTGTAGGTGGAATATGGAATTGCCTGGATTCTTGTAAACTTTATTTTAGGGGTGATATTGAGAAAAGATCATGAAGATGATTCCGGTGAATGACAGGAGTTACCTAACTTAGCTTCAGATTCCAGATGTTTTTATTTCGCAGCAACTTTCCTCATAACACATGCAACAAAATTATGATTATGCTAAAACATCGGATTTGTATAATTTGTCTATGGCATGAAAGAGAACTCATAATTATGCAAATTGATGGAAACTTTCTTCATGTGTTACTCTAGCACAGAGCAGTGCATGATTTCAACTTCTTGACTTGGATACACCAATGCTCCTGATGACTAGTTCTATTCAAGGCTACTAAAAATGTAATGAACAATGCTAACAGTTGTTTAAAATTAGTGCAAAAAAAAATGTGTATAAAAATTGTAAATTTTAAAAATGATTTGTTTCATTTTTTTTTAAATATACTGGTAATCAATTCACTGCAATTTCACTATCATTCATAATTAGTTGGAGCATTTTTATCTTACTATAGTAGTTCAAATTAACTTTTTAGTTTCTAAAAAAGGCTGCTGATTTGAGTTTGTTTCTTTGTGTTTTATCTGGACAAACTTACTGACTTTCTGATTAAAATAAAAGTGTTTTAAGCTATGTAGTATGTACATATATTTTTATTTAGCATTACCAAAGGATAGTTGTTTTTTGTTTTTTGATTTTTTATATTTGTTTCCTTTAAACATTGATCTGGGTTTTGTTTATCTTCTACCTGCCTTATAATCATCCCTAGACTCTACTTAAGAGAAAGTTGATGTATAATTCATTATCAATCTCAACATTCCAACAGCTAGAACAGTGATGGAAAGCAATGGCCCTAGTAAATTATTTACAGCTTTTGTTTTTAAATTTGGTTTTTAACTCTCACAAACTGTTATTGGATATCAGCTAAATGGATTGCAGCTTATAGTTTTACCCTCAATAAATTTGTTTAGAAATGTTTTACAAAATTTAATTGACTCATAATTATTGCATTTTATATTATTTTTTTTATTATAAAAACAAACTTTACATGTAGATTTTAAAAATGTATGGATGTAACCACTAAATCTAAGACAGTTTTAATTTTTTGCGTAAGGTTGGTACAAGTTTCATTTATTACTGATTATGATTTTTAATTTTGAGATTTGTTTTCATTTAAAAAAAGAGTACAAATTTATTTATATAGTTATTTCAATTCATTACATTCATTTTTGGAACATTTTTAAAAATAAAACTAAAAAACTTAAAACACAATACAAATTATTTTTAAATCCCCTTTATTTTCTATTTTAATGTTATTTTAGTGTTTACTTAGACTTTCAGCAAAGTGCTTGTGATCTAGGTTTGTTTTCTACCAATGTCTTTGAGCTGCATGTCTTGCTTAAGTCAGTTAATTGCTTATCTGAACTGTTGGGTTGATCTTTGTTGTGCTATATTAAAGTTGTGAGTGAAGCAGTGTCAAACAGTTATATGTATGATATTTACTTTTAGAGATCCTCAATAGGAATTACATTTGTTCTGTAAATATAATTTTTTTAAATGATTAGAATTTGAGCTAATAATTTTTTTTTTAATGATTTCAATAAAAAGTTTAAAATAAAACTTTATTTGATTGTAGACTTGTTCGTCTTGTAATTTGCAGGCTGCTACAGAAGATTTGTATTGAGAATCTACATATCTACTGCTTTTGAGTTTGGTTGTGGGAATATTTTTTTAAATAACTAGAAAGGTTTATGTGGCCTGTACTATAGTAGTTTGTTTTTGGTTGTTGTTTTTTATTTTTTGTTAATTTTATTTTAACTATTAACATACTACTCTGGTGTATATACTTATTGTTTTCTTAAAATGACTTAACAAGAAGACACAATTTGAATCAGCAAAGTTTAATGTGAATTAATCTTTAAGCATTCAAGATTTTTTATGTACTTTTTACTTATCCCCATAGGGCACTGTTTGAAGTAACAGGCTGCACTGATCAATTTGCATTTAAAATGCTACTCAAGGAAGACCAGAGTTTCCTAAAAATGTGTTTATTTTATTCTTAATCTAACATTGATGCTTTTTGTACTGATAAATGTCAAGGATTTATTCAAGAATAAAGGCACATGCAATTTCAGCTTTTTTCTTATTTGAATTTTTAAAAAGTGAAAAGATAGGATTACTTAATTTGTGAATAAAGAATATTTTACTTCAAGATATTATCACAACAGCGATGTGTAAACAATCAGGCCAATGTGTAGCATTTTCCAGATAGGTTTTTTTCAATGTAATTTTAATCATGTTTGATGAATTTATGTCATTTTGATTGAAAACTTCTAAACTTGGTCATTGGCTGCACACCATACTGGAGTCTCATTCATTGATTTGATGCTGTATATTTCTTTTCACCTTTTTCCAGCTATTCAGTCCTATCATAATTTGTACCAAATAAATTCTATACCAGATGTTGGCTTTGTTTAATAGTTATTTTTTCTTGTATTGTTTGTTACCAAAACAAAAAGGCATAAACCAGGTAGCCTCCAAAATGTTCATAAGTTTATTTAGAAACTTTCATAAAGAAAGGGTATATGTCGCAAGAACTAGAGTGTTAGAAGTCCTTGGTGGCGGTGTACCGGTGTATTGTTTACACAAATCTCACTTTCTCATTTAAATGTTGAAATGAAATTTGACTCCCAAGATTAGGACTAAACTACAGACTACTTCACATTGAGTAGCCAGATCGGGGAGGGGGGGGGGGGTATGATAGACAAATGATGGTGACAAAAGAATAGAACAAACCACACACAAGCACACACCTAAATTAATTAAATTATTGACAATTAACAAAAAAAAGTGCAATTTCACGTTTTAAAATCGTTATGGAATATACAGACCTATATAAATGTAATCTATGTATATGACATGTTATATATATAGGTCTTGAAAGTAGGAGAATGACACCCCCTCGTAGTAAAACCCTGCCGACGCCACTTTAAAATATTGTTTTTGTTCAGCACTAAAGCTAGTTAGTGGTTAGTATGGGAGTAAAATAGAGTTCCCGGAAAGCGCAACGGGAAAAATAAAATACTTAAAAAAACTTTTTAAAAAACCACGTTTTTCTTGTGGACTAAAAAGTAGAAAATAAATTTTTCTTCCGACCCTAGGGGATCTACCAATGACTGCTCGTAGATTTTGTGCTTCCTCGAGCTGTGCGGGTTCTTGTGATGACTGTTCATACATTTGATGACAAAAAACGTGGGTACGTTCACCATCAAATTTCCAAAATTCGTGTGTTGTGTGCCCGACCCACGTTTTTTGTCATCAAATGTATAAACAGTCATCACAAGAACCTGCACAGCTCGAGGAAGCACAAAATCTACGAGCAGTCATTGGTAGATCCCCTCCCAGCTAACACAGTATGTAATACCATTGTGGGCCCAAGCTTGGCCCAATGTTGTAATCATGGCCAAACATTGGACAAGCTTACGCCAGGGTACAGCCAAGATTTGTACATGCTTGCATCCCTTGATACCTTGATATTTAACCGTTTTTACCTTGGCTGCCAAGATTACACTGATTTATGTATTCACTGCAGAAATTTTAGTTAAATATGCTTGTTAAACTTAATATATGTTAACTAAAATTAATTTATCTTTTAATATCATGCTCTAATGTAAACATAGCATCAATAACAGACTACGTTGCATGTGTTAAACATTTTGTTAATCTTTTTAAAATTGTGTGCGCTACTGCCACCGGCCCCCTGTCGCCCATTGTCCCTTTGTTCACATTCCTTCCTATTGTTCGCAAGCCAGCATCCCGGTGCTTCGCCATTTTTCTTAACAAAAGACTTTGTATCCAGTCACAGTAAAACAGGTAGGCCCACTGTAGCCATTTTACTAAATTTTAGTTCAACAGTGAGAAGTAGTATAACTGTATTTATGCAGAATCTGGAAAACTCGTATTTTTTTGTTGGAAACTTTAACTTTATGGGCCTAAGTCATCAAATAAAAGTTATAAAAGGTAGTTTATTTGAGGTAATAAAATGAGCCTAGATCTAGATCTAGTCGAGATCTATATATTAATAATACTAGAGTCTATATATTCTGTTTATTTTGGCATTAGGCTATAATTACATTTTACAATAATCTCCTTTATGATAGATCTAGATTCTAGATAGATCTAGATTCTAATCATACTAAATAACTAAAAATCGTAATCAGAGGGCGGTTAATTTTGACAGCACTTTTTTTTTGTATTGAAAAGTATGCAAGTACGTTTGGGGTTATATTGATTATTGATAGATCGATGTATTTATTGGTTTTCAACTTTAGGTATAATTATCACGCACAGGGGAAGGGGGGGGGGGGGGGCTTAAATGTTTATAAATTAATAAATAATCATTCACTTTAACTTTTAAAAAAAACTTAATTTTATTGTTCTAGGCCTATTTGTGTAAGGATTTGAAACTGTCTTTAATAATTAATTCAGAGAGAGAGAGAGAGAGGAACAGTAGACACAATTATAGAACAAATTTCTACATGCTAAACAAACAGTCACAGTGTATTTTGATAGGTATTAATTTTGAAAAAAATTAGTCAACTAGAATTCTAAATTGATTCAAGATTGTCATTCAAATTTCTATTACTGTTACAGCTCCCTATGGGAGAATAAGATGTCATCATCATCACTCCTTTGTGGCCCCTGGGGAGCAAAGGGCTGCAACCACACATCTCCAGCGGACTCGGTTTTGGGCTGCTCCTCTACTCTGTGCCCATGAGAGCCCAGCTGTTTTCGCCTCCTCCTCAACCGTTCTCTTCCATGTTTTCCTTGGCCGGCCCACCCTCCTTTTTCCCTGGGGATTCCAGTCTAATGCATGTTTTGATGAATAAGATGTAAGTTGTGTAAATAGTAGTGTGGAGACCTCAGAGCAACACTTAATTTCATGACCAACAGCGATAAGATGGTACTATTAGTAAGCCATACTTAATGATCAAGACTACTCATATTATCATATAGAGGACAGAGTAGGCAAATGGTTGAGGACACTATTGCTAAATTAAAGCCAAGTTAGTAGTACATTCATCAGTTCACCTAAGTCTGATATATACCCAATTTAAGACTATGAAATAAAAAAGGTGGCTAGATATAGTGTTGACTACACAAATCCTTTATATACAGAGATCAAATAAACAGAGATACTTAAAAATTAGTATCTAATCTGGCTATCATTTATTGTATCACTCACTCATTTTATTATTATATTTAATAACTAAGAATGCCATTTATTTTCAGGCCTCCAGGTGACCAGGTGTTGTGTATATCAATCAGCCCACTGGAGATATATCAATCTTTTAATAAATTATAAGGTCCCCACTGCTTGATACTTCACCAAATACTGGCTACACCAGAAAATGACTAAATGTTCTTAACACTTAACAACTGTAAGTTTACATTGTTTCAAAGTGAATAATAATTTTCATTTAGTAATTTTTGCTTGCATGTAATGATCAGCATGTGTAGTTAATGCCTTTACTGATATTAGTAAAATAATTTCAGACCACAAGCATTACTTCTGGGTCACTCTGAAGGGTCTAATCGTTCAATTACTGAATTGATAAAGTTGATGAAATTGCTCGCTCAAAAGTTGTCTGGCACCTTCTTAACTCAGAGACATAGGGTAAGGGGTTTATAATATTTATATACATACTATTATTTTTTTTATTACCAGGTCTTTTTTTTTCACTTTTGTTTATAAATATATATATATATATATATATATATATATATATATATATATATATATATATATATATATATATGCAGTATACGTGTTACCTGGGTAGCATGAACACCCCAGACCACCAGTCTTTATACCTATATAATATATCGTTACAAGGTAGCAAACATGATGTTAGGGGCTTCTTGTTGTATGTTCAGTGCAGTGCAAAATAAAATAAACATAATAAATTTAGTGCAAAATGAGCAGTGTATGGTTGTAATTATTTCATAAATGACTTTTAGTGTGTAACTTTTCTTTTTTAGAATGTGGATGGATTATGACATACCTTGCACAAATCAACAACCAGGCTTTTATTGGATTTGAATCCCAAAGGAAAGAGAAAGTTTGTTATCCAAAACAAACATGGAAAATATCAGAAACCAACAAAACACAAGCAGGCAGAGTGTTATGGACCCAACTTTGGGGAATCTCCTAAAATCAAGTATAAAAATAGAGAGGTGTGGTTGTGTCTCTCAGCTCCACAAGGGTCCACAAGAATGAGGACAACAGTGATTTTCGTAATAATTTTAGATCAGATTTTAAAAAAAAATTGATCAGATGGATCAGGTTAACAGTTTAATACATATTGCATTTAAGTGCTTAACGAAAAGAAAAGATGCTCTTACCAAAATAGTCTAAGAACAATGCTGATTTTAAATTAATAAATTGTTTCCTTTTGTAATAATATAATAATTTAAGTTGGCATTGTATGTATGTTTAGTGTAGATTTAATGCCCTAAATGAAATATACAATTGACATTTTTTTTCTTTAAAGAAATAGTTGCAAATTTCTTTCATTATTTAGTTTCACTGTACAATCTGAAAAAAGCTTGCAACATTTGTATTGACAATACTTCTGCTGGTGATATTTATTTCTAATTAATGAAGTAAATTAATATATATTCAGTTTACTATAATTAAATACCTCATACTCGAGACAAAAAAACATTTATTGAATATCGCAGTGATATTCCTGTTCTACACAATGCGTATAAACCCTCGAACCATCTGTCTTTTGAAAGATTGTACATTTTGTATACACAATGGCATTCATTTCAACACTATTTAACCACAATTATAATCTAGAGATCCTGAACATATTTTCGTTCTGTTATTTATGGACAAGGCAGACTGGTCCAGCATTAAAATGTAAACCTTAATTAGAATACTTAAACGAGCTATGCAATTAAATGTTGTTAGACAAATATTTTATACTTTTTATTTTTAATGTTATGTTTACGTATCATAGTACAAGACAGCTTCTGTATTCTTGTACAGTAAATTAAGTTTTTACATTAGTTTAATTTAAACTGTAGGCCTGCTTAACATCTGTTACATTATATGAAAATGTTTTGTATATTTGTTTTAATTTGTTTGTATAAAAGTCAAAATGAAAGTTACTACACTATTATTTACATATTCTTTTTCAATCAATACTTTATAGTATAGTTATAATTTTCTTACAATTGAATGGATGGTATGATACAGATTTTAATAGATGAGCAGTTCTTGTGTATGTATTGCTGCTTTACTACATTTTGATTAAAATTTCTTTCACATTTTGAAATTACCTTTGTAAATATTATGACTGATATGAGAATGGATCTTTTTGTATGCTAAAAATAAAAATTTGAGCCAAGATGTAGCCAGGATATAATACAGGATGAGCCAAGGTATAGCCAATAT